CTTTAAAACAACCACAGCTGACACAAAGTGCTGTACATTAAAACACAACATAATAAAAAAGTAATTAAAATAAAGACGGTTTAAAAACAAAAATATACAATTTAAAATTAGATCCCGCTGGTGTTGAAAACCAAGTAAAATAGATGGGTTTTAAGACGAGCTTTAAGCTTTAATCACTGCAATAAAATAACTTTGACCTAAATTTTAGGTCCAAAGTTGTGTTTTTCTGTAAATCCTGAAGTTCTGATGGTCTTCAGCTGACAACACTGCTCCGTCTGTTCCCTCTGAGTGACGGATGCTGCTGTCAGCTGGCTCAGACAATCAGCTGCTCTGTTCTGGACTGATCAGGTTGGACCGGGTGCTGGGTCTGGACCCGTCAGGACCCATGATGTCCTTGTTTACTCAGCTGACAGCTGACCTGTGTTTAACCTGAACGTGTCTGTGTGTGTGTCCTCAGTGTGAGAGCCGTGGAGAGGTCCTGGTGTCCCTGTCCTACCAGCCCGTGTCCCATCGTCTCAGCGTGGTGGTCCTGAAGGCTCGACACCTCCCCAAGATGGACATGACAGGCCTGTCAGCCAGTGAGTAGCCCCCCCTGCAGGACTTGTGTCTCCTCACAACAAAAATCTCACCCCGGCTGGAGCTGTAGCCGTGCACTAATGTCACAATACGACATTCAGGAAACGATTCGATTCTCTGAACGATTTTAGAGGAACAGAGTGATTTTGGTGACATTTTGAGAATTAACTGAACTAAAAACTGATTAAAAGCTTCAACTACACAATACCTGCTCTGATTGGACAGAGACCTAGAGTCTACAGCTGGACCAAATTAATCAAAGATGTGATGAGACAATTAGTTTCCTTTAATTCAAACAGTGCAAACTGTAGCTTACAGGCCTAAATAATATTTGGTTCCATCAGGTAACTTTGACCAATAAAGAGAAAATTTTCTCAAATCTTCAGGATTTGTTGTTTATGATGAGAGGAATTAACAGTTAAAGACTTGGAGGTAAATTATTTTGTTCCCATGTTACAGAGGAGGAACAGATTATTTTAAACAACTGAAATATTTGGTTGTATCAGCAATAAAATAATTATAAATACACACAATGTGTTGGAAGACAGTGTTTGTTGTCTGACTGATAAACAGTGAGTCTAAAGACAACATGAGAAAAGTTGGAAAAGGACTGATTCTCTTTGTGATTAAAAAAAGGCCAGGTTTATTTATTTATTCATTTTAGAGGCTTTTTTTTACAGCAGCTGATGATTAAACTGAAAGTTACCATGACAAGTTTATGAGTCTTTTTAATAAGAAATTCATCAGAAGTGCTGTGAAAATGGTCTGATCCACCTTTCTGGCTGCAGTGTGCCCTCCGGACACGGGGGGACAGATTTTCACACAACACCGTCCTTCTGGGACCATCTAAAGCTCGAGTCCTGCCTGCCGTAACGTGACAGCTGACTACAGTCAGAAAAACAGCGAATGAGACACTTAATTTGTCTTAAATTCAGACATTGTGACAAATCAGTAACTGTTTGTAACCTTACCTCAGCAGAAGGCAGAGGGTGTCGGTCTTTTCTGCTCAGATTCAGCTATCAGAGCATGAAGCTAATGTTTACTCACAATGCTAATGCTACCCTTATTCTCTGGCTCCTCAGGAGTAGAGGAGCCAAATGTCTGGCTCACTGCTGCCAACTAGTGGTCAGAGGCTGAACTACAACATAAAAATGAACGGCTGGCAGGAAAGTTGACATTTTAAACCTTTAACGATCGATACAGAGCTTTATAAAATCGATATAGTATTGGGGAAATGAAATATCGATATATATATCAGTGTATGGATATTTTCCTCCAGCCCTACTGAGGACCAAAGATGTCCAGACATCAACAGCTCGGTGTGACTCGTCTTCTGTTTGAACTCTGTTTACTCTCATTCTTCTGTCTTTCTGTTTCCTTCACAGCCATAATGACCACTGTGTGGTTCTGTGTAAAAACTTAATGAAAGACTGTGAACACAGCCAGCACTTATAAAGAAAAACAGTCTGGATCAGAACCAGCACGGGTCCAGCCCTGCAGGGATGAGATCAGCTGAAATGTGACTCCGCTCGTTAAATGCAGAGTAGTTTCCTGCGTGAAGACGGTGCAGAGCCGGCTGCAGATGGTTCTGAAACAGCTCCAGGCTCACACACACACTCCGTCACACAAACAAACACATCTGAAGATGAAAGTGAAGCTGGATTATTCTGTTTGTTTTGGCTCAGACTGATCTGGTGCTCCTAACCCTAACCCTCACAGGAGGTTTCTGTCAGACCCACCGAGCCTGAAACACTTCTAACTCAGCAGGATGAATAAATTCACTCGTACACGTGTGACTGACGTGTTTTTCTGCCTCCTGCAGGAAAAAGGAGACTTCCCGGGAACATACGTGGAGTTTGTTGGGAGGAAGAGGATGTCTCCGCCCACTCCAAAGCCCCGCCCACCCAGACC